ATTTTGGATTTTTATGGGAAATTAGTATTTTCTTATGGAATTAATTCCAATAAATTTTATTGACTAAATCGAATTAATTGTGACTAGATTCGAGGCATTTGGAGGCCAATTCACAAGGCAAAGGCATAGCGGAGTAAAGAATTACACGGTTTGAGGTAAGTAACACATCTAAACTTGGTTCTGAGGGTATCAATCCCCGAATTTGGTATGATATAAATTGTTTGGAGGTGACATAAACGATAGGTGACGAGCATATGGACGTGCACCATATAAATTGTGTCTTGAATAAATCATGTGCAGTTGTAAGATTAATGAATCATGTTATTATCTGAACATTCTCCACGTTTTAGAGAAATTGAGCTGAGGCTCCTATTAAAGATCATGTTTAGGCTACGTACCAATATTTTGGGACCCATGGGGTCGTGTTGTTGTTGAATTAATTGTTCAAAAATATATATTTCACACTCGGTAATAATTGTCCATTGTGAGGATATTTATAGGATTGAGCTGCGTAACGCAGCAGGCCATTTGGCTTTATATATGTTATTATTAAATGGATCGGGGATGCCCGCCTGTAGCAGGCCAGAATGGCTTTATACATTATTATTGTTCTGGATCGGGGCTGCCTTCCTGCAGCAAGCCTTATTGGCTTTACTATTTTCTAGATCGGGGCTGCCCGCCTGCAGCCGGCCTTATTGGTTTTACTATTTTATGGATCAGGGACACCCACCTACAGCAGGCCTTATAGGCTTTGTTATTATACGGATCGGGACTGTCCGCCTGCAGTAGGTCATATTGGCTTTGTATTACGTTTGGGTTGAAGGAGCCCCTCCGGAGTCTGTATATACCCCTAGTGAGCGTAGATGATCATCGATATTCGGGATGGACTTCCTAGGGCATGGACTTACCTTACTTACTGCTTATATATATATTTGGGATGGATTTTTCCAGGGCATAAACTTGCCTTACTTAATTATATTGTAATGAGTTATCTGGACATGGATCTTATCAGTATCATTTATATTTAGGGATAAGTTATCCCAGGGCTGGATTGGCCTTATACGGTACTGAGTGACTGACTATCAGTCGATGTGTAATTATATACGGGTTGGAGCACCCTTGGGCTGGATTGGCCATAAACGGTACCGAGTGACCGGATAATTTTTTACCAGTATTTACATGAGGTCTTTCTACTGAGATGTCATATTCCTCATATCATGCAGTATTGATCTATTTCACTTGTACTGAGTTTAACTGTTAAACTTGAAAGTATGTCTACATTTCTGTACCATTACTTTTACTGGACTGTACCTGCGGAGCTCATCATTTCTTTCAGCCCAGAGGTTAGTCTTGTTACTTATTGAGTTAGTTATACTCATACTATACTCTGCACCTCGTGTGAAGATCCAGGTGCTTTCGGACACGGAGATTGTTAGATTTCAGAGTACTATCAGTTGGAGACTATCAAGGTAGCTGCTTGGCGTCCGCTGACCTTGTCTCTCTTTCCTTCAGTTATTGTACTGTTCTATACTTTCAGGCAGTGGTTTTTATCAGTCAAACATTGTATTCACATTAGATGCTCATGTATTCAGTGACACCGGGTTTTGGGGGTGTTATATTTAAAATTGTGAGATTTTCTTCCGTTGAATTTAATTATTTATTTTCAAATTTAAAAATATGATGGATTATTGAGATTTTCGGCTTGCCTAGTATTGAGATAGGCGCCATCACGACAGGTGAGATTTTGGATCGTGACACTTTGTTACAACAGGTAATATATACTAAAAGTTCTAAGATAATTTACGTAGCTAGTAGATAAATAAAATTGACTTCCTGTTAAATTCTCTTATGTATTTCAAGTTTCATATATATAGGTTAATGAGATAAATTTTGGTTTAAATACGTTATCCATGTGTACGGTGAAATAACAACTATTGTTGTCTATATTTAAAAAAAAAAAAAAAAAAAAAAAAAAAACTCTCAAATAGTGGCGGAGCCAGAATTTTCATTAAGGGGAGTCAAAATATAAGAAATAAACTCAATAAGAAGTCAAGGAGTGTCATTATATAGTATATATATATATATATATATACATATTTAAAAAAATTACCGAGTTATACAGTGTAATTTTTTGGCGAAGGAGTGTCGGTTGATACCCCTTTGATGCATGTGGTTCTGCCACTGCTCTCAAAAGTATAACCAATTGTTAGTCCAGTGATAAAGCATCTCGCATTTATGTTGGGTTCGGAAAAGGGTTATACCATAAGGGATATGACATAAACAGTTTACCCTAATATAAGTATTAGTGATTGCTTCCACGACTCGAAATCGTGATATATAAATTATCCGGAGATAATTTTATCGGTGTTCCTACTGTCCTTCCCGTAACCAACTATGTACAAGAATCAACATATTCTATACCAAAAACACAAATGAGACAAAAAGCAATTTCACGTGCACATTGAAATACGCGATTTATCTATTTTAAACTAAGAAAGGTAATGAGAAATTTGTTACACTTTGTAGAAGACAAGAGTGTGTAACGAACCTCTCGGCTAAACCAACAAAATCATGAATAGGCTATTTTGAATGAAACTCGTTTGGGAGAGGATCTTGACCGTCGAATCTCCTAAGCAAAGTGTAACTTCATTCACTTTGCAACTTTTGGAAAGTGAAAGTTTAACCATAATTAATACACAAAAGAAAAGGAGTGAAATTTTTTGTTGGAATTCTCAGAATTATAGTAGTGCATGAAAAGTTCTTGTGGCGCGTCCCTTGTAGGAATTCTAAAATCGACTTAACATGTTTTCTAATTCCCCTTTGACTAACCTTCTTTCAAATGATGACTTTGAGGTACCAAAATTTCCGAACCATGCAATTCAAAATCCTCTTCTTTTTTTTCATAACCGTGGTGTCCAAACAGCTTGCGCTCAATTCGACTAATTCCACATACTACTTACTACCTCCCACCAGCATAGATCAAAAACGTATCCAAAATTTCAAAAACATGGGTGCACCACTATTTTTAAGAGGAATTTTTAGAAACCGATATTGTTTAGTGGTTATTAACTTCTTATACCTACCATATACATAATTACTTCCTATAGCTACTATTCAGTTGTTACGGTAGTATATTCACATGTATTCGCGATGTTGTATTCATGAATACAGCAGCAAAAAGCGCCTAAAATCAGGGCAGTCCAATTGTACGCGCATGTATTCACATATATTTGCGTTGTTGTATTCATGAATACAGCTGTACGCGCCATGTATTCATGAATACAACTGTACACGCCATGTATTCATGAATATGGTAACGACAATCTCTTAAAAATAGGTATGTCTAGCTGTCTAAGAGAAAAAAAACATAAATAGCGTATTTCATGCCTTACTTCATGCCTCAATTGTAGTATATACCATAAAATACTTATTTTGCTAAAAATATAAAAGGTAGCTATAGAAAACAATATTTTAAAATAATTTTGGTTTATAATAAATAGGGTGTATACATTTGCTATAGGAGGTAAAATTTCCTACTTTTAATATAAATGTTGGGTTTGACTATATAAAGTTTTTAACAGTGACGACACGTTGATGAGCAAACAATAATTAATATTATTAGCATTATTTATGTCCTAGATGAGTTTACATACTCTTAAAACTAATAATGATAGCATCATTGGGTACAATTTTAACTATTACATTTTGTATATCAAACTATAAATCATTTCATCAAGAAAGCTCTCTTTAAAGTTTAAAGAATGACCAAGTAGAGTAACCAAGAAGGAAAAGGTAATAATATAAGAAACGTAAGCATCTTTAAATTTAAAAAATCAAAGAGTAGTAAGTTCGAATTGAACCCTTTACCTTGAAGCCAAACGGGCACTGTTATCATTAAACCAAAGTGCTCACTTGA